ACCACACACCACACACACACACCACACACACACCACACACACACACCACACACACCACACACACACCACACACACACCACACACACACGATTGGATCGCAGGGCATTGCGTGTCGCCGGGGCCGCCGCCTCGACACGCGAAGCAAATCTCCATGATGGAGTCTCCCAGCGAGCAGTCAGGCCTTCGTAGCGTTATCTTTCCCTGGGGGGCATAGACAGCAGAATCCAGCGTAGTCCTCGTTCCACCCTTTCGCCCCCTTCCACCCATTCTCCCCCTCGTTCCAGCACAGTCCTCCTCCTCCTCCTCCTCTCCTCCTCCTCCTCTTCCTCTCCTCCTTCCCACTCCTCCTCCTCCTCCTCCTCCTCCTCCTCTCCTCCCACCTCCTCCTCCTCCTCCTCCTCCTCCTCCTCCTCCTCCCACCTCCTCCTTCTCCTCCTCCTCCTCCTCCTCCATCCCCTCTGGCGGCCGCCGTCGCCGCCGCCGATGCCGCCGCCGTCGCCACCCGCGCCAGATCCTCGCGCGCCTGGACACCCACCACCAACCAGCTTACGAGGGCGGGAGAATCGGGTCGGACGAAGGGGGGGATACGGTGGAAACCCATGCCAAGAAACACCCTGCTTGTTCCTGGGTTTTGATGGTTTTGCTGTGGAGAGCGCGACGTTCCCACACCAAAAATCAATGGACGTCCTTGGGTCTCAGGGTTGGGTTTCTTGTGGAAGGTTTCTTGTGGTCGAGCTCCTGCTGTAGGGAAGAGGGAGGGCCACGGAATCTGCTGAGTGCAGCTGGTTTCGGCCCCGCGCCCTGGCGCTTTGGCTCTCAACGTGGGTGCTCCAGGCGCCCAGGGGCGCCAGGCCAATCACCTCCAGTACTCGGGAGCGAAAGAAGGACGCACACGTACACTGATCCACGTTGGTTTCGAGAGTGTGCCTTGCGCGAACGTTCATAGCATGCGGCCGGTCTCGCGGACTGGGGGGCCGTGCTCATGTACGAGGTTGGGCGCGTATGTGGGCTCTCTCATCACGACCCCCCCTTTTCGTCCGACCCCAGCGTTGCTGGGGAGAGGGGTCCAGGGCCGACGGAAGAGACGGCGGCCGCTTCTCAACACCAACCCAACCACCCCAAGCTGACCCGAAGGCTCCCAACGTGCCCTCCACGCCAGTGGGGTGGGCCGTCGGGGAAGAGTGCGATTCTGCAATTCGGAAAGGGGAGATGCGACACCAGCACCACCAGGGGGGGCACCTCCAGCGAGGAGGTCCACGATTCCTCCCCGAGCTGGAGGCGGGGGATGTCTCGAGCGAGAGGGGGGGACCACACCACCAGGGAGACCCCCCTTGCTCTTCTCATCTCCTCGCCCTGGTGGTGTTGGTGTCGTCTTTCCTTGTTCCTTTTGCAGAAGCACATGTGGAACCCGTACCCCCCCAAACCTGAATTGTGGGTCTTCGCGTTGGGTTGGGGTGGTCTGGTCGGTTGACAGCATCAGGAGCGGATCGCCACTGGGGAGGGGAGGTGGGGCGTTGCACGCATGTATCCAGAGGCTCCGATCGCCCACGCCTTCGACTGCCCCTGTGGCCTCCATCGACAAGCCCTGAGATCGGACGTCGCGAAAAAAGATGCAGCATCGTCGTGAGAAATCCACGCCAGAATCCTAGACCCAATCTCTCTGCGACACTTCTCGCGCGGGCTCGGTCTGTTCGGGCAAATGGCCTGTGGCGAGAAAATGGCGATGCCAGGATTTCGCCCAGCCCCCCGACGCCATGGTAATTTCGGGGGCGTTGACCTCCCGAGCTCCCGACCCGTTCGCGGGCACTGGCTCTTCATCCTGAGGCGTTCTTGTGACGGTCCCAGGGCCCGGCGAGGGCCCCCCAGAGGCAAAAGCTGGCGAAAAACATCCCGTCGTGTTTTTCACCGAGCGCGTTCCACTACTGGCAAAGTGCCTACTCGCAAACGTCCGAACAGCACATGGCTGCCCTGATGTAACTTGTCGTAGACCCCCCGCGGGGGATCCAGGCCATCTGCGGGTGGTTACTTTGCGAGTAGCGGAACTCACTCGCCGAGTTGTTCTTTTTTTCGCGACGCCAGGCATGCCTGGGCCGTGGCCGTGGCCGCCGCCGTCGCCCTCGGCGGAGGGCACCCCGGGCGGAGGGCGCGCGGCCCCCGCGGCCGCCCCCGCGGCCGCCCCGCAGCCGCTCCGCGCCCCGAGGCCGACCCGTGGCGCCCCTTCGGCCGCCGGGGCCCTCTGCAGGGCTCACATGTGCTCGGAGGAGGGCTCGCAGGGGAAGCCGCGGGCTGCGCCTCGGGCGCGGGCGCGGGGCGCGGGGGCGGGCTCGGGCTCGGGCGCGGGGCGCGGGGCTCGGGGGCGGGCGCGGGCGCAGGGCTCGGGGGCGGGCCGCGCTTCGGGCTCGGGCGCGGGCGCGGGCTCCCGGGCCTGGGCTCGGGTGCGGGGCGCGGGCTTGCGGGCCCGTGTCGGGCGGAGGGCACGGGCTCGCTGCTCTCAACGGGC